TCACGCTACTGATTTTATTGCTTTTTCAATTCTTTGGGTAATGAAACTGTGTTTGTTGATTGTGAACAAGAGACTTGATTTCTTGCGTTGGAAACTGTTTCACTAAAGGAAGGTGGTTGCACAGGAATTTGACTAACCTGAGCAAATAAGGTACATTTTTCTTCAAAACCATATAATTTTAGTATATACCAAACCAGTGGACAGTGTTTTTTGCATGCTCTGATTGGCTACTCAAACTCAGGATAGTACATGCATGTGCTATCCACTTCCCAGCTTAAGCTGAAGTGTGAAAAACTTTTTTTTGCAGTGTTCTGAGATATAAATTTATAATTCTTTTATCTCACTGGTTTGGTATATACTTCACAGCTCATTAAATATCCACCACCACTAAGGGGAATAATATTTATTGTTAAATATATTAAAAACAACAACGACATGTGAATGTAGATTGATGTTAATAACTGGCTGGTAAAATAATGGCACGGCGTGGAATAGGGCAAACTGCCATGAGTTTTACATTGTCAAGAGTTAAATAAGCTCCAGCAAAAAGACTGTGTATCCTATAAACAGGCAAAAAGTAGCTTGATGCTCTAGGTTCAAAGTTATTTGCGTCCCACACACAAAGGATATTAAAACTTCCCAAGCATTGGTTTTGCTGAACAAGGAAACCGGGGTTTCTGAGCATGAAGTGAACAGCTCTGAACTGCAAACGTCACCAGACATCTCTAACTGAACGTTGAAAAGCGCGCGTTTGTATCGAGGACGCGGTATGTCTCGTCCCCAGAGTGAGGCCGAGATCCTTATGCGCATGACAAATACCGTATGAACGCCAATCAAATGTCCAAACTATAATCGCGGGATATTTGATCTTTCACTGTCGTTCGTTCACTCGGTCGAGTTTCGTTTCGTTGTGGGCACGTGTTTGGATTCTTCCTCGATAGGATGATGGCTGCAAACGATCCAGTTCAAGAGAGACAGCTTGTTCTTATGGAAAGAATGAGTAGAAGGATCGATTCGATTCTCGAAGGGCAAAAGAAACTAGAAGATACGAATGCAGTCCTTCAGCAAGAAAATGCAAAGCTGAAGAACCAACTTGCGAGTCTGGAAGGGCAGGCAAAGAAGAAAGGCAACAAACGTTCTAAAAGCTCTCGCAGAGAATCAAATGTTGTGATTCCAAATGACTTAAGGGTAAATATTCTTTAATTACTTTAAGGATATAAATTTTTTCAACTTTAGTACCGTTAAGTTGTGTTTCACAGGGTTTTCAAAATGAAAAAAAGTATCAGGAGGAAATTTTAAAATAGCCGGAGCACCACTGCGCCGCGACAGCGGCGCCGGGCGGCAAAGCCGCCCGTGGGGAGGGTGCGGGAGGGGGTTTCCCCCTCCTGCAGGGGGGGTATGGGGGGCCTCCCCCAGAAAATTTTGAAAATCTGCATGCTCTGAGGTGCATTCTGGTGCATTTTCAGGACCAAAAGTTATTTTTTAGGTCGTTGTACACTTTATTATAACCTAGAGTTTTTCTTAAATCTGACTCATTATCAAGAGTTTCTTGAAAATTATGTTTACTCATACATGTTACAATGCTTTCCTTCCAGTCCCATGTTACATATTACAATTTACATCTAAATAAAAATTGACCTCTTTCCCTTGTCAGTACTTCATTGACCTGTTATAACATGAATCAACTTTTGAAATAATTATTTTTGCAGTCAGAGTTTTCCTACAGATTGAAAATACAGATGAACAGTTTCGTTATGGCATCCAAGCACTCAGGCTCGATTCTTTTTAGTTAAAAGTCACTGTCACTGAAATCACTTTCCCCCATTGCACTGTCCCTGTCACTGTCGTCACAACTTGGATCATCTTGAAAATTTGCTAAGCCAAGTTTAATGAGGGCCTGCTCTTCCTCTTGCAACGCTTGTTGTTCTTCTTGACTCTGACGATCTTCAACTTGTGGGTCCGTCTGTGTTGATACACTTGTTAATTCTGGTGGTGCAGGTTCTTTGCCCTTGCTTTCTCTTGAGGCTGACTTCCCTTTGGCCAAATTGTAGCGTTTTCCAGAGAGCCATTTCTCAGTGGTCTTCTTCACCAGGGTGTCACATTCTGAAGAATTTGCCTCTGGACCATTCATAGAGATATTAACAAGGGCCTCCAGCATCTCATTGGTCAGCCTGCTCCTGAGCCTTGACTTTATAAGCTTAACTCGACTGACTCCCCTTTCAGGCCATGCGTTGCTTATGGGCATCGTGAGAGCTATTTCTACAATGTGCATGAGGAGAGGGAGAAGAGAAAGGAAAGAAGATCTTTGTTTCATTAGCTGGGACATGCACCACTCTGCTGGCATGGTAGTCTTGCCTTCTTTTACATCAGCTGGAATGGCCATCTCCTTCATGTGGTACTTTAATATATTCCACTCTGCCAAAAGTCGGTCTTGTTGGTCGGGGAAGTAGTGCTTGGCAAGAACTTGATAGAATCTACTCCGTAAGAGGGAAGTTCTGAAGAGCTTGCAGGAATAAGAGTTGGATCAAAGATGGAGAGCGCTCCCAGAAGAGGGAGGGTGTTCTGAAACCTCAGGTCGATGTTTTCCTTCAAAGCAGAGACATACTTGAGCAACAAATTTCGCATGGATGCAAGCTGATGCTCAGAAGGGGAAAACTGCAGCAGCGCCATCTTTCCTTCCTTGATATCTTGGCAAAATTGCTTGATGGGGACTTCTTTGGTTGCCACTTCATCCAGCGCTGCCTTAGCACGAACAATTTCTGGTTTAAGGTGACTGAAATTGACAGTAGAATGCTGAAACGATTTTGACAGGTTGTCAAGAACAGGAAGCACATGCTTTAAAACATACAAGCAAGCCAGGAAGCGGACGTTGTTCATTTGAACTAACAGGCCCTGGCATGTGGGGTCCTCATCTTTCATCCTGATAAGGAACTGGATGATGGCAGAGAAGCTCTCCCAAGCGGATTGAACGGCAGCGTTAAATGACAGCCATCGTGTCTGACAGGCCTTCTTCAGCTTCTTAGCTATCTTCTTCTGCGAATTCTTGTTTGAGAGAGTTATTTCACTCACCTCAAGTTGAACTTTCAGGAAAATGGCTGTCTTCTTGTTCGAGTTGTCAAGGAGTTGCCAAAGGGTGTTTAGTGTGTTCTGCATCTTCTTTATTGTGGCAAGATCGTTTAAAGTGTCGGTACACGCCAGCGCTAGTTTGTGACAAACACAGTGGACAGATATTAACGACTGGATTCTTTCATCTGCTTTCAGCCTGGTAGCTACACCTGACCTTTCTCCCACCATGACACTTGCTCCATCTGACACAAAGCTTTTAAACCAGTCAAAATTGAGACTGTGTTTCTCAATGACTTCAGAAGGATGCTTGTGATGGTTAAAGAATCTGCTGCGTCAGAGCTGGCGAGAACATTTTCCAAACACAAAAATTTCACCTCAACCTTTTCGCTACCCCTGTTATAATACTGGATGAAACCAATCATTTGCTCCAAATTTGCAATGTCAGTCATGTCATCAACCATCACCCCAAATGGCCCAGTTACAGCAGAAATGACTTCATTTTGAATCATTTCACCAAGAAGAAGCAACATGTTGCGAAAGGAACCTACTGATGTGTGATTAAAGCCACTCATATCACACCCCAGCTTCGCAAACCAACTTTAACAGACTCTTAACCTTGACATTTGCTATATCCTCCTTTGCCAACCAGTAAAGGCAATAGAAAACTCTTTCATACACATCAACCTGAACTTCAGCATTATGATCGAGCTCTTTCTGGAAAACTGAGAACCTGTTCATAAGAATGGCAGTGATTGCATCTTTGTGTCTCTTTGTTGCAATGTGCTCCTCGAGGCAATCTTTCTTTAACCTTGTGCTTGGTTCTGCAGAAAAAAATTCCTTTTTGTTTTGGGGATTCTTGGAATCAAACTTCTTGCAGATCAGACAGTATTGACCTTCTCCTTCGATGTAAACGAGCCACCACATCTGTACTTTTTAGGCTATAGGCCAAATCCTTATTAAAGATAAGGCTGTGATTAAACATCTGCTTCTTTTTTGGTTGTTTTGATGCGTGCTCTTTCTTCTTGAGACACACCCAAGCAGTCACGCTTTTTGCAGAGAATGTAGTGATGAATTTTCTTCGTCTGCTGTTCTTCAGTGAAACTGTTCGTGATATCACTCTCTGACTGTATACACACAGTATCTGTGGGAGGAAAATACATGTAAGATTCTTTACCTTTTTTCTTCAGTGTGTGATGCAAACCACCAACTAGAGAAGGCTACTCTCAAAAAAAAAAGAAAGAAATATCACGAATTGTAATAAAAAGTTCGTTTACCTTCAGCGTGGTTGGTAGGGGCTGCGGTCACAGAGATTTCTTGGCAGTCGCGTAACACATTGACGGGCAAACTTTCGGCATCTTCGAAGTTTAAGGACGTACTAGGCGTTGCAGAAGACCCTTCCGTGTCTGGTGCATCTAACGAAAGCAGTGAGAATATGTATCGATGTTGACAATGTGTACCATTTATCCCCCATGACCAACGCGTTAAATAAACCAAGCATAGTTATTTCGCGCTCACGTATATGACCTCACGTATACAAAATTTGAGTTAAAGGCGGAGATTAAATTTTATTTTTTAGCGCGACATACAAGCTCCATAAATAATGCATTGTTAGCCAAAATTTCAATCGATTAGATAAATCAATTTTATTCCGCGGGCACAACTGTTTTAACTGTTTTTTTTTAGTTATCAGAAGAACAATGCTTTGCTAAACAATCAATTTCAGTAAAACTCATATATGTTAAGCGAGCCGTAACATGTGGCGCGACTTATGTCGCGACTAGTCTGGCTGTGTCGGCTTCGTATAAAATTAATTTTCCATAAAGAACTGTAAAACATTCAGTTTCACCCGCTTTACTGATTATGAAGACTTGAAATGAAACTTTAAGTCTCACAAAAATCTTAAAAATGCCTGGCTTATATAAAAAGTTAAATGTGACCAAATTTGTGTCGGCATAAAATTTATTTAATCGCCAGAGTCTGCCAGTTCATTCTCGAAACGGCGCCTCACGAAACCAAGCGTTGAATAAATAAAAGCATCCCTTATAAATCGCCTTGTTGACAATAAATAATTCAACCTAAGTGATACAATATTGTTTTCAAGCAATGTTTCATTCATAACATGCACCAATACTTATTTTCTGATGGACTGGGGATTGTAAACAGGAACCCGGCGAACATTTGCATTTTAAAAAGTGTTTCATACCTGCAATCTCCTTTCTTTGCTGTTTGAACCCAAACTGGGTTAAAAGCGGCTGTGATTTCTGCCTTTTCATCCGGTGACTGGGACCGTTTTCTTAAAGAAAGCGCCAAGTACAAAGCTCTCACGAATTCACAAACAGATTCAAACACGCGATGTGGAGAAGAAGACGATTTCATAATTCGCTTACGCAAGAAAAAACTAGTCACGAAATAGCAGGATCAAATGTCGGTCTTTCGTGGGAAAACGCAAATGGTTTCCAGTCCAAGTTGAATGCTGTTGAATAAAAGAGTTACGATTTCTGATGCTGGAACGCGATCAGTGGGCAAGAACAAAATATGTTATCCTTAACTTTAACCCATAGGAATCGGAACTTTATGTTTTTTTAATTTTTTTTTTTAATTTTGACTTCCAAAAGTACCCGGCGCTAACGCTCGAAGTAGCCGGTGACTTGCGTCGGGCGCCGGTTACTTTTGAAAACACTGGTTTCAGAGTTTCAGTTGCGGTGTATCAGAAGCATAAAACGTGTCTTCAAAGACACCGCCATTCCGCCATCACGCGTGTTCTGTGTTAACTTAAAGCTCAATATGTGTAGATGTTGGTTCTAGTGCTTATCACAAAGTTGGAACATCCTTGTGCTGAATTCTTGTGCCTATTTTGCAAGCATTTAGCAAAAATACTGTTTACCCAGTTTAAAATTTCACTGTGTACTGTTTACCCAAAAACCCTGCTGACCCTGATTAAAGAAATAAACAAGTTTGTGGTTTGAATTGACTTTTGACATATGATGTTCTTCCATATTATCTTCCAGAAACGGTTTCGGTTCATCTACAAAAAGATGGTAGAAAAAAAAGTGACACAAGGTTTCATCATTGATGAAGAGTATGTTATTTTTTTACCATACATAAGATGATGTGTTTAAATAGCAAGGCACTAAGAGAGATGGCATGCAAGATATTAGAATTAAAACTTTACCACCAAGAGCTAAATCTCTCTCTGACCAGCTTCTTCTAAGGGACTGTTAGTTATCTGTTTTGAGGCCAGTGTTTAGAGTCTGGGGCCAGTGTAAAATATTCAAATTGGGAGTAGGAGATGGTAAACTTTTAGAATCTGTTATTTCAACTATTATGTTGCTGATAGATTAATACATGCAAATTTTTGTTTTGAGAAATCTTTTCCCTCCAAGAACCAGAAATCCTAATGTCAGTTTGAAGGTGTAAAAAGCATGTAGCTTCTGCACTGTACCAGCAGTGATTAGAAAATTGTCCATCTTGTATAACTGCTTTACTTGAATTATTATTTCCTTTTTTGGCTGAATAGTAATAATAATATTATTATAACTGCCTCTGGCTATTGTTTAAAACAAAAATAATATTCTCATTTTTATTACAGTCCACAGTCAGAGAGAAACCAGAGTATTTTTACAAAAGTGAAAGAATTACTGAAAAAAGAGCATGGAGGAGAAAGCTGCCTATGGACTGACTTACAAATGGAAGGTATTACGTTACAGGAATCAAGTTTTAATGTTGTGTGCAAGTTAGAACAAGAAGCATTTACCTTGTGCAAAATCAAACAAATTTTCTGAAATATGTTGGACAGAAAACTTAACAACTGAAAGGGAAAACACAATATTACCAGCATTAATTCTTTTAATTAATATATATCCATAAGCTGATGTTACATATACACATAGACTTGTCATTGTATTGTAATTTTAGGATATCATGCAGCGATAATAATTATTGTTTTTAACTCAACAGCTCAGTTTTATCGGTACTTCAAAACAACTAAAGAAAGAGAGCAGAGGATAAGAAAAGGGAAAAATGAAGAGCATAAAGAAAAGTGCAAAAGGAGCAGGCGTTTGTTATATGTAAGGACTAGCTAAGTTGTCTTGCTTTTGCCATGCTAAACCTATATTCAAGAATAAATTTTCAAGATAGTGTGGCTGAAGCATGGCTTCTGAATCAAACGTTTCAATTCAGTTTGACAACAAGTGTTGTTTAATACTGTGGCAAATTTGTGCATGGCATTGTACCAACATAATAATAGTTTGAAAACACAATACAATGTGGGATAATATACAGCAACAAAAAATGAAACAATGCCATGCACAAATTTGTCATACACTGTAAGTTGGATTGGTATGTTTACAACTGGTGTACAAATACACATTAATTAGGAAAGTCAACCTTGCTGGTAGTTAACCAAATAATATGGGTTTGCTTTAATTTAGTACTGTTTTGTAGCATGAATTTTTTTCTGGGAGTTCTATTTATTGCTGATTGTTATTTTCATATTTTATATCTTTTGTGGGATATCATTTTGAGTTAGAAAAGTATTTCTATTTGACAATAAATTATATGTTTCATAGATATAATTTGGTCTGGTTATTAACTAAATAATGACTGAATTGTTGCTTTTTGTTCCATTAGAAACTGGAAAGGCGTCAGTCATCCTATGAGATGCTACAAGCTTCTATGACACCAAAAGAAAAACAGTATTATAGTGAAATCCTTTACATTGATTATATGAGTAGCGAAGAATCAGATTATGAGGAGCAAGAAGATTTCATTACTGGTGAAAAAGAAAAGAAACTGGCAAGATATGTAACCAAGAAGCTATCATGGGAAAGAACAAGCTTGACAAATGCAAAAGCCAGGCTAGACAGAACCTACAAAAATAATTTGACCCCCCATGCCAGGGCAATGGCTAAGCCAAGGAGTGTTGGTGGCATGTTGGAGAGGCCTGCACCTGCTGGCCCACTTTGGGCTGTCAGGCAGATAAACAAAGAGTCGTGATTGAAAAAATACTTAACACTTTTTCTACTTTTTATTCATTTATTTATCATGTATTTAATGGCAAACTGAAGTAATTGTTTTGTTAGAACAAATTATTGTCATCTAGATCACAGGGATAGTTTCTTCCAAGTATTGTTAAATTTATTGACTTATGATGGGGAAAATTTGTTCCTGTCAAGCATAAATTAGCTAGGTATGTGTGACATTTTAACCCTTTAACTCCCAAGATCTGATTGGTAACTATCCTCTCTAGCTGCTACATATTTCCCTGTAACTTAGTTTTGAGAATCTGGTGTGATATCAAGACAAAGACCTATACCTGATAAGTTTGAGAATTCTCATTATCTCTTTGCTGGATAAGTTCAAGATATTTTAGGAGAAGTTACTTGTTAATCACTCCTGGGAGTTAAAGGGTTAATTACAAATAGGCAGTAGCTTTAAGAATGTGTACCAGTGAATTTAAAATAAAAGAAACTTGAAACATATATTGTTTAGTGTGATATGTGACCTGGTGGGTGGCAGTTTAGTAATGAAACAACAAAACAATAATATTTCACTGATTTCACAAATTTGATTCAAAACTAAAATAAGCAACAAATTTTGAGCAGATTAATTTGCATTAAATGGTACTTTGACAACATTAAATGTTTGAGCTCTGTTTACTTCAATTAAACAGTACTTAAACATACAGGAATGTTTTGGACACATTTAATGTGCACTTAAACCTGCATTAAGTTTTAGCCTTAAGATAGTATAAGCCAGGTTTAAGTCCAACTTAAATCTAGGTATAAGTGACTTAAACATCAACTTAAACTTATTAAACCTGAGTTTAAGACAGGATTAATCCATGTTTAATGACACCTAAATATATCTTTTCTCCATGTGATCTCTGCAGAAGTGTTCGTGGTTGGGTGTGACTGTACAGGATGATGGTAGATCTTCAGTTTTAGGCTGTTAAATGATGTTTTCAGCTCAGTACCGTCTTCGTTTCAGAACTCATAAAGACCCTTTGGTAACACCTTGCTGATGGTATAGGGACCTGACCATGCCCACTCCAGTTTGCCTCCTTTTCTTGCCTTGTTCCGTAAGTTAAACATTAACAAACATTAACTCAAACGTTGTGAATTTAGAGTCATTTTTACTGGTGCATAAGAACTTCAATAATATTATTAAAAACGTCAGCCTCCCCTCGCCAGTCTTGCCACATATGCTCGTCGAGGAAAGATTGCAAATTATAGCTCCTGATGCCTTTCCTCATTTTAACCTTGTACTTCAGCCTTGACCAAGCCGATTCCACCTCTTGCGTATGCACACCAGTAACGGGGTCTACAAAATTAGCGTCATGTACTAGAACTCAGTGAATCTGGACAGCTGCTGCATGGGCTGTATAGACGACGCACACCAGCAATAGGTTTTCACTTCGATTTAATGTCTCACCATAGTTACGTAATTGCCAATGTGGTTTCTAAATAGATGAATAAAATAAAATTACTTGGGGAAATCGAACACAAGGAAGCATAAACTAATAAGCAAACACAACTAGAATAAAGAACGTACCAGAGGTGACAGGATAAGGGCCGTAGAAGCGAAACTTGACTGACAATGGATAACTGATAACTAACTCGAACAATGTGACTCGCAGACTGAATAATAAATTAGCATGCAGAGCGCGAAATAACTAATGTTGACGAGGCGGCCTGGGTCGAGGGATGGTTTTTACAGGCTGTTAAGTTGGAACAAGCCCCCCAGTCATCACTGTGGACTTCTGTACAGGGCAGCAAAACCCTCTGCAGGATGGGTATCAAACTAGCTCTATCTCTACGCTCCACAACCTTGAAATACCCTTGTGCTGGAGAATAGCGTGTTGATACCACTCCAAACACCCAGTTGTCTGTTCTTGCTCTTTTTCCTCGGTTTCCCTGTATATAGATAAAACCATTGATAATTTCTATTTCATTGAGATGTTTTTACATATTGTTATCACCTTTGCTTTGTGGTTGAATTTACTTTCGTCCACTTTTGCCACAAAAGGAGCTCCAAATGGAGTGATAGGACACTGCTGAAGGTCTCAGGTAACCATGTCTCTCAGCAATTGAGACGTTTTCGACGATTCACTGGGATTGATCTCCAGCATGCGTGCTGCCGTGGCTTGCCTCTCATATTTGACCACAGGTACAGAAAGACTAAGATTTTTCCTATTGGTAACCTTGGGAAATCTGCAAATATGGAATTACTCCTTAAACTTCTCTTCTTTGTGCATCCTCTACAGTGCCCAGAATGATAATAAGTATCGGAAAATTGCATATTAGTGAGAAAGCATCCAGTAATCTGGTTCATATCTACTGTATACTAAACGGCTTATATATATATACATATTTTTCTGTTATCATCATCACCATGATTATTATTATTATTAATATTATTATTATCATTGTTATTATTAATTGTTTTGTCTAGAAGATGTTGTTCAGTGAGTATGCTGAATTCTTTAGTGGCATTTTTGGTCCCTGGTGTACCGGCATTGGGTCCGCCAGCTTGCCACTGAGGCTTACATAATTCATCAAATTTGTCATCCCCGGGAACATTATCCCAAGAATAAAGTAACGTTTCAATCGCTGGGCGCCGAAAAGTGAGGAGATGTGACAACCAAAGCTGGAAACACGTCTAAGCTTGCAGCTCACGATCGCTGCATTACCACCTCGCAATTCAGACCAGAAAATAAAACATCTTAACCCGAGTTACATTTCACGTTCCTAACCGCTGAGTTGGTATCTTTTGGTTGAGGTCTGTTTTCAGTTTTTTTTAATATTTCAATTGACAACTGATAATCTTCTATATCAGAAATATTTTAACTGTAACACTTACCATTGACATCCGTCGACGTGATCTTTGTTTTGAGCAGAAATAACCATATCCAGGTTGCAATTTCCACAACGAAGCGGATTTAGCAGCAATCCATGCCCTTGCAACCAAGTTATCAACTCTCTTACATCACTGTCTGCCAGTAATGAGATTTGCAGTACATTCATAGTTCATTTTTTAGGGGAGTGGTGTTTTCCTGAGGTTTGTGGGAACAAATTTTTGCAGTTTTCTTTTCAATGCAAGCAGCACGACACCAACAAGAAAGGAAATCTAATATCTTTAGAATTTGTTCGTCACCTTGCCTGTAACAGTCAACCTAGAAAACCTCAAAAACATTTTGTCCTGAAATGGCTTCTCTCTTCTAAATGTTAGCTATCACATAAATGATGTCATCAAGAAACATCAAAACACGTCAAAACGAGTCAACTATATTTTTCATCATGATTTATATTATTATTTATGAGAGAAATGTTTAAGGATGGTGCACTGGCAAAACAAGACGATAAATGCGATGAAATACGCAGTGACATTGCAGCTGACACGGGCATTCTGCACTAGCTGGTCGATTTTTATCAGCACATGCAGAAAAACGTTTTGATAATAGAAAAATGTGGCATCCTAGGGGCCTTGAAATATGGTGTCCCCTTGCATTGATGCATTCTTGTGCCTCAGAGACCTAAAAATTATTTTGTTAGCTCAAATTAAAACATTCCTTTTTACATCGATGTATGATATATATGAACACAAGTGGATTAAAAGCCATTTATTAATCACACAGTGATTAATTTTTGCGGTTTTAAATTTTGCTGGCGTTTTCTTTTTGCTGGAACTTATTTTTGTGGATCAAGTACCATCTACAATACCCTCAAAACTTAAATCTCTCATAATAAAAGTGCTACAAGGTATGTTCGTGAAATCACTTTTTTGAAATTCCTCGTTACTTCTGTCACATAGCTTGATAGCAGCTTCTGCAATGGTCATTTCCAAATTTGGTTCTCGTTTGCGACCAACTGAGGATGCATGTTTATGGTCATGGCCAATTTAGAAATTATCAGATAACATCGCTGTATTGTATCGCTCTATCAAATGTCTGAATTGTTATGTTTTTCTCAAAAAATACAGTGTTTTGAAGCAAGTTAAATTATTCTTTCCAGACCAACATTTTCTAGTTAAATATGGCATCTGTTTTCACCGTGCAATTTCACTTGGAATTTGAGAGGCTAAATTAAATTGTATATTTACCAAAGCGCGCAACTTTAAAAAAAAATGGCAGCGGATGAAGTTCTTTTAATGACTTTTTTCATGTCGATTCTCACTATATTTCTGCGAAGAAGACCGAGTTTCTTTCAGAGGATGCAGTCAATGTTTCTACAGTTGAGGAGAACGCGACGAAATGTTGTAATCAGGTTGATTATTAAGAGCTGTCTCTCCCCAGTCTGTGTTTGTTTTTTTCTCCTCACTATTAGTGGCTTGCGTCGCAAAGGGACACCGTTAACTGAGCTCATCAATTTTTGCATTTGCATGGTTAAGGTGCCTATGGCCAGGTAACGCCTGTCTTCCAAGGTCACAAACACCTAGTTAAAGAAATTATTGACCCATTTTGGTGTTACCCATCTTTGATGCAGTTTTTGGTAATTGTCTCTACCACGAGTTATGCAAATAGTTTGAGGGAGACTGCTTGTAAGCCATCAAATTGCCTTACATAAGCGTTATGGAAGTGATACAGCTCTGATCGGCAATTTGAAACATTGAAAATAAAATCTTGATGGGAAGGGTTTAGTACGTGTTGTATTGTTAGATCTCGGTGGGGCTTTCAACAGCCAACCACATGACCTTCTTCTTCTCGGTATCTCATTGTATAGTATTTGCAAGATAAGGAGCTTTTTAGATGGATACAGACAGCGTGGTAATATTTATGATAGTTTTTCTGTCTTTGGTTTCTAGAAGAGATCTGCCCAGGTCTATTTTAGGTCTTTCCCTTCTCAAATACATCATACAACAAAGGACCCTCCAGGTCCTTTTATTTGGACCGTTTTCGGTGGACTTTAATGATGTTTCTGTCTGACAGTTTTGCCATGTCAATGAATTCACAAGTCCTCGTATTGTAGTATGTAAACACTACCATATTTGGTCATTCATTGGGTGGTCTTTGTGTATTTGATGATTGCTACATCTGCTAGTTTGCCTAGGATTGATATAAATTATTGATATTATTATCATTATTATTACTTTTATTATTATTATTTGTGCCCTTTCTTCTAGGGTTTTTTACTCGATAGTGCCGAGACGTTTCCAGTTTCCTTAAAAACGTTGGGGGAGGGTGCGGTATAAGGGGCTTCTTCTACTACTCCTCAACGCTTTTGCATCTGGCCAAGTTTTTATTTTTATGAAGCACAATACATTTTTTATGCCAAAAGCTAAACCTGCCATAATCCGTGAGCCATTGGAGTCGATATGTAAATGTTGATTGGCTGATCCAGACAATTGACATATCATCACACCCTTTCTTGTTTAAGGGAAAGAAACTAAGCATGGATGAATACAAACAATAGAAATAAATGATCAAGCAACAGTGTCCTCAGTTCTTGAAACTTAAAAGGAATGATAAGCAATGTCATTTGGCAACAACAAAGTCCTTAAGGTAACTCAGTGGTCGAGTTGTTCGTTCACTTTGGGTAACTACACATACAACTGGTTTGGGGGGTGAAGACTGCTCCAGCACTTTAACTGTCTGGGAGCTGCTCTCAGGTTCCTTGGAACAAGTTTTTTCTCAAGATTGTTTAAGTGGTGGTACCTCAAAACGAGCACTGGTTTTCAGAGGACTGACAGCAGGTTTGGGGATGGTGAGACTTTCCGACAGGTGAGTCTGTTCCGGCATGTGGATGGGCTCAGGGTTGCCCCTAGTGCATGCTGGCTCCTTACTGTTTCAGAGGTGTCTTCTATTTCTCCTGAAGATCTTTCCATCCTCGGTCCTGACTTCATATGATCTGACATCCACTTGCTGCTCTACACGAGCTTTGAACCCTCTACCAGACCTTTCTGTAGGCTTTACATGCACAATTTCTCCTTTGCTCATGGGGGGAAGTTCCTTGGCACTGATGTTGTAGTGCATGGCTTGCAGTTGTTTTCTCTTCAAGAGCTTTCCTCAGACATTCTCAACTATTTTGGGTTTGAGGAGTTCACTGGTCGTAGGAATCAGTGTCCTAGTACAGCTACCAAACATTCTTTGTGATGGAGAACTTTCTAGGCCTTCAGAGGGTGTATTTCTCCAAGCAAATAGAGCTAGGTAGAGGTCTGTTCCAGCTGCCTTGGATTTCTTTAGCAGATTCTTAGCTGTCTAGCATTTTCTGATAGCATTTTCTGCCTTGCCATTGCTTTTCGGGTAATGTGGAGAGCTAGTAACATGTTCAATGTCATAGCTTGTCATAAACTGTTGAAACTCATGAGAACTATAGAGCGGACCATTGTCAGTCTGCAGCCTGTTGGGAAATCCATGTGTTGAGAACTGTTGCTTCAGGGTTCCAATCACTTCATTGCCAGTCTTGTACTTAAGTTGGTCGATTTCAAAGTTTTTTTTTTTTGTATTTTATTAATTTTTATTAATTCAAAGTTACATACATTTTTCATAAACAAACATAATTCACATAAACAGACAGACACGGTACATCATATATCTACATACACAATCCTCAGTTCCTCTTAGCTCTCCTTGGCTACTAAATATAATACTAGTACAGTGCAGCAACAAACATGAGATTCTATATCATCTAATAATTTTTGTATTTGTCCCATTTCATATTATGACCTTTTAGCTTATTATTTGATTTTGCCATCATTGTCTCGAGTTGGTGGATTGTTTTAATTTTGAGGTTTAATATTTTAATTGAAGGAAGAGATTTGTTCTGTCGGCAAGAATATAAATACTGTTTGGCAATTATTAAAATATGATTGATTAATAATTCGTCTTCGCACCTTAAAATACCAAACATTATATCTTTTTCAGAGAGGTGTTTTATCCTTACGCCTTGATTATCGAACCACTTTATTACCTCAGCCCAGAAATCCTTAGTATAACGA